CACTTTCATCCGAAATACAACAGACAAAATAGAAGCAGTAAATTAATTTTATACAAAAAAAATAATAATAATAATACTAAAAACTTGAACTCATTCACAATTATTTTAATAGTAATTTAAATTATATACAGTAGCTATGGACAAACATAATAGAAGACTTGAATATTTTTCTTTTCTTTCTTTCTTTTTTCTTTCGTTTTCTTTCCTAACAAATGAAAACATTTTTATTCCGACAAATTGTCAATTTTTTTATTAAACACAAACGTCATCAGATGTTTGTAGAACAAAACAAATATCATATTATAAGCAATGGCCGCAAGATAACTTGGTTACTTAACTGATGAATTTAATGTATGATGTTATGTCATGCATTTCCCTTGAATAAACTGATTTGACGGCTATTAGTGCAGCGCTGCTGGATTGTTGTTGTTACCTGGCAACATAAACTCCGTGTGATGTTGACCTTGTCAGATTTCATTTTTAAACAGTCGTCTTCCACCTGACGCATCGGGTTAGTTTTCTGAGCCTGCAGTGCAAAAATAGATTATATTATCAGATTCTTGATGAAGCATTGTGGGAGCATCTAAACAGCCAGGTTAAATTTAGATTTTTTGAAGTGGTTCTTCGATGACATTGTTGCTGTTTTTGATCCGACAAATGAACACTCAAGATAAAAAAAAAGTCTAAATTGTACATGGAAACAAGAAAGAAAATATTTCCAAAGAAGTGGTCTAAAATGCAGTTACACTGAGCTTGTGTCGATATATGACCAACACTAGAAGGCGTATTTTTCCCCAATGGTAAATGCATTGCAGTCAGGATAATGTTAACATGAGGGGGCTGTAATTGCAAGACTGTTATCGTCTGGTTAAACTGTTTAAATATGACGTCATGTGCGTGTGTGTGTTTTATATCAAAGGTATTCATATTCTCTTTGGTTATATATTCAATCTACATGTGTACGCACAATCTTGGTCTACAAGACAGAACAGGACAAAGGTCATTGTAATACACGTCAACCAGTCAGTTTCTAATGGACAAAATCCTGTGGTGTCCTGTTTTTTTTTTTTTTTTTTTTTTTTTTTTTGAGAACTCCACTTAAATATACAAATTTAGTTTCCTGCCCTGCTGAAAAAAAAAACTGCTTAAACCAGCCTAAGATGGCAGGTGTTAGCTGGTTTACCAGTCTGTTCTTTTCCAAGCTGGTTTCCAGCCATTTCCAGTCTGGTCTTACTGTAGCTGGTCAGGCTTGAAAATGATCAGCCAAAATGAACTGGACCAGCCTGGTTTAAGCTGGATATCGGTGGTTTTGGCTAGACTCTCAGCCTGGCTATGGTCAAGCTGGTTTTAGCTAGTCATTTCCCAGCCTGACCAGCTAAGATCAGGATGGAAATGACTGGAAACCAGCCTGGAAATATCCAAAACTCCTTTAAAACCAGGCTGTTCAACCAGCTAAAACCAACCAACCTGTTTAAGCTGTTTTTTTTCAGCAGTGTGGTGACAGTTTGTACTTTAATACACTGAAATTGTAAAAGCAGTTTAGAGTTTTCAAAAGTCTCAAATAGAAAGAAATGCAATTTTGAAACAACACAATGAAACACTTGCATATACATACGCTGTAAAAAATGCATGGTTCCACCCAATTCATTCATGTGGTCCCAACAAATATCCATTAAGTTAATGTAATTAATGTAAGTACACTGAAAATAATATTCAAAGATGATTCCTTGGATTTACTAAATTTTTTTACGTTAAGTGGTTGTAAACAATTTTTTGGGGCTGAATTTAAACAAACAAATTAAGTTGAACAATATTAAACTTAATTTGTTTGTTTAAATTCAACACAAATAAATTGTTTGCAACAGTTCTGCATGCAACACTTTTTTTCAGTGTAGATCATAAAACAATTTATTATTTTTTGTTTTCTTTAGTCATTACTGATGTGCAAGCTTATTAATAAAGTGCATTGATTTAAAGGGGTGGTTACTCTTAGGAAAATCAAAATGTCCTCACCATTAAATCACACACAAGTGGTTCAAAGTTTTATGATTTTCTCACTTTTGTTGAACACAAAACAAGCTATCCTAAAAAATGTTGTGTGAAAAAGCAGTCATTGACATTCATAGCCAGAACAAAAACTAGAAGTCAACGTTTGTCTCCTTGTCATGTCTGTTTGCTTTTTTATTATTCTTGGCTAAAAGCTCTTTGTAGTATTTACAGAACTTATTTTCTACTGCTTTAACATTTTTTTCAGTTAGTTTCTTTAAAAACATGTTTGTGAAACTTACCAGTAATTTTACACTTTCATTTACTGTATTAAAAATCTTTTACACCAAATTTGTGAGCACAAAATGTCAAAGGAAAAAAATAACTTACATTTGAAGATGTGCTCAACAAATCTCCAAAACTGTTATAGTATCCAGAAACCAAACTAAACATAACATTACACACAAGTCATGTGCTGCTGAGCAAACTACACACTCCTTTCTGGTGTGAACTCATGAGGGCATGTCAGTATGTTAGAAATTGCATTCTTTAAGCTCCTTGAGGCACTTTCGGTGTCCTTACAAACACAGATCCCATACATTACATTCACAGATACACAAAAGATTTAACACCTTATCAATTTATATTGTGTATAAACACTTCTTAATAAAGTGTTTTGTGTGTGTGTGTGTGTGTGTGTGTGTGTGTGTGTGTGTGTGTGTTTCTGTCTGTCTGTGTGTGTGTGTGTGTGTGTGTGTGTGTGTGTGTGTGTGTGTCTGTGTGTGTGATAGTCGAGTCTCTGGCCTATCAAGACTCCATTATTTTTCCAGGAGGCCTTCAGGACAGTAGACTGGTGATGGGGTTCAGACGGGAAGAATATTAATAGCCATGACAGCAGCAGCTGTGGAGCAACATCACAGCTTCTCGGTTACTATGGTCAGCCTGAGGAATGGGCCGGACTGATGGGGGTTGAGCGACAGGGATCTTATTTGGGATCGCATTTATCCGATGACACACTTACATTAATCGGATTTCCCATGTGTAATGTAAGAGACAAACTAATTAAGAATATTCCACATGTGAAAAAATGATGTGGTACTACTAAAATATTAGGCCTTACTCATATGGTGGTGCAATATTTTGTATGGGAGGAGATGCAAGTCACACAGCAGTGCTTGATTTCTGTTTCAACATCCTAGTACATTTTTTTTAATCATAATTCACATATTTTAATGCAACCATATGCACATTACTGATGTGATATGTCCAAAAAAACAAACAAACTGCAAATTAGTAGCACAACAGACACTTAGAGTAAGCCAGGGGCAGACCAGGACTAAAAATCAGCCCTGGCACTGTAGCCACATCAGCCCACATTATCAGACCGACACAGCCCCACCCTCGGACATGCATATTCACTACTTTTATTGGTGTACAGATGGTAAAACAATATAAGCAGTACCATATGTAATAGATATTTAATAGATATTTATTTTGTGTTTGGACTTGTGAGGGAAACCAGGAAGAAACCCACACGAACATGCAAACTCCAAAATGAAACACCTAATGACCCAGCCGAGGCTCGAACCATTGACCTTTTTGCTGTGAGGCGGCAGCGCTACCCATTGTGCTGCCCCCTTTTGAGACTATTTCAGTTAATTTTATGCATTTGGCAGCGTCTGATTTTAGAGCAATTTTTATGTTTCTCTGAGCTTTTTGGCACCGCCTTTCCTTTTTTTTACAGTCCATCTCTGACAATTAGCTTGTGTTGCACCTAATGTTTATTTGACATTCTTGCCAGATTTTGATTATGTCCGCATAACCTCTGATTGGGTTGGCCCATCTCGAAACCAGCTGGCCATTGCCGATTGGGCCAATGCTTAACATTTATTATTATTACTATTATCATCATCATTATCATCATCATCATCATCATCATCATCATCATCATCATCATCATCATAATATTCACATCTTGCAAGAAACAAAAACTGCCTGTATGTAAGCAAAAAATAAAAAAAAATTATAAAAAACATAACATAAAACATAAAAAGTATGTAAAAAAAATAATAAAAAATAGCATACCCGCCCACATTTAAAAAATGGTCCAGCCCTTTTGGCATTTGCCAGAATTGCCAGATGGCCAGTCCGCCCCTGGACTAGGCAACCCTGATGCCAATATGCTTATTTCACGCGGTCGCCATTTTAAAGAACCAAAGCGAAGGCTGCGGTGGGAAGAAAGCTGGAATTATAGGACCAGCACTGTAAACATTGCAGTAAAATGCTGTGGACTACAAACCTCCAGCTGTTGCCGAGATTTGGAGGTTTGTAGTCCACAGCATGTTACTGCAATGTATACAGTGCTGGTCCTATACTTATATATATATATATACTGAAGAAAGATGGAAACTTGGAACTTGGTAAAACAATGTAAACTAATGTAAACTTTCCAGCATTCTTCAAAATATCATTTTTGATGTTCAACAGAAGAAAAAAAAAGGTTTTAAACAACTTGAGGGTGACTAAATTGTGAATTAATTTTCATTTTTGGGTGAACTATCCCTTTAGGATAGGAATTAGATAACTTTTTCAAACTTTGTAGTCCTTTTATATTCATAAAAATCTAAAAAGAAACAATATTAAATGAAATATTTATGACAGCTCAATGTGGCCACTTTTAATAGAAAACCCTTTTGCTTTTTCAAACACACACACAAACTCATCAGTCTAATATGGTGTTTATTGGGCCACAAGCACTCTTCCTGGTAAGCAGAAGTGACAGCACAGTTTGGCATGGCGTGACCTGTGCCACCTCATGCCTTGTCCAGTTGCTCCACCCAGCTGCTGGAAACCAGACCTCATGACAGCTGAGGAAGCAAGGTTTAGAAAAGAGAGAGGGAGAGATAGAAGTGGGCGCCAATGTGTGTGGGTTGAGAACAGTGACTAAAAAAATGTGGGTGGGGGCAAACGGGAGTGGTCTCTATATATCCCCTCTTCTGCTCTGCTTAACCCTCATTCTTCCACACAGTCCTCAGAGACCCAGCATTCACACAGCGTACAAACCCAACAGGCCCAGTCATGAGCACAAAATATTCAGCCTCCGCCGAGTCGGCGTCCTCTTACCGCCGCACCTTTGGCTCAGGTTTGGGCTCCTCTATTTTCGCCGGCCACGGTTCCTCAGGTTCCTCTGGCTCCTCAAGACTGACCTCCAGAGTTTACGAGGTGACCAAGAGCTCCGCTTCTCCCCATTTTTCCAGCCACCGTGCGTCCGGCTCTTTCGGAGGTGGCTCGGTGGTCCGTTCCTACGCTGGCCTTGGTGAGAAGCTGGATTTCAATCTGGCTGATGCCATAAACCAGGACTTCCTCAACACGCGTACTAATGAGAAGGCCGAGCTCCAGCACCTCAATGACCGCTTCGCCAGCTACATCGAGAAGGTGCGCTTCCTCGAGCAGCAGAACTCTGCCCTGACGGTGGAGATTGAGCGTCTGCGGGGTCGCGAGCCCACCCGTATTGCAGAGCTGTACGAGGAGGAGATGAGAGAGCTGCGCAGACAGGTGGAGGCACTGACCAATCAGAGATCCCGTGTGGAGATCGAGAGGGACAACCTAGTCGATGACCTACAGAAACTGAAGCTCAGGTGAGAATTTCAAGACGTGTTTTAGTAGATCGATAGCTTTGAAAAAGGCACTGTTGGTAATAAATTTCACAATTAATTACTAAGAAATGGCAAATAACGTTCTTTCTTGAAAATTAAGAAAGACTGAAATATAATTTTCTGGTAAATCAGGTTAAAATCATACACTCAAAAATGATTATTGCTGCTTGATCAAACTGGTCCCACTTTATATTAAGTGGCCTTAACTAATATGTACTTACATAGGAATGAATAGCTTGTTACAATGTACTTATTGTGTAAATACATGTATTTACTGTGTACTTATGCTTGATTAAATACATGTATGTAATTACAACTGTAATTAATTTTTGTAATTACATTTGTAAATACACTGTTGACCATCCCTTACACCTTAACCCACCCTTAAACCTACCCATGCCACCAAACCTGTCCATAACCCAACCTCTATCACGACTCAAGAGCACCACAAGTGTTCTCAAATACATTACAAACACAGTAAGTACATTGTATTTATTTTTTTGATGTAAGTACATAGTAGTTAAGGACACTTAATATAAAGTGGGACCATCAATCTACCTATTTAAACCTAGTTGTCACAATTCTAGTGTTTTTTTAGAGTCAACTTCATTGTTTTATGTTGAATCCACTCAAATTTGTAAAAACAATTGGGCTAACTTTTGTGTCTTATGACAACATGAGAGAACCATCGTTATACAGTAACTTGCCTAATTACCCTTACCTGCCTAATTAAGCTAGTTAAGCCTTTAAATTTAACTTTAAGCTGTATAGAAGTGTCTTGATAAACGTGATTGAAAAATGTGTTGAAAAAAATTGTATCTCTGTTAAACAAAAATTGGGGGAAAAAATAAACAAGCGGGCGAAAAATTCAGGGAAGAAGTATCAGAAAACTTCAGAAACAATTTGTTCTCTTTACTCATTTGTATACATACTTTACCAGTGTTGAGGGTAACAAGTAACACGAGTTAAGTAATAATATTACTTTTATAAGTAACAAGTAAAGTAATGCATTACATTTAAAAAATAAGTAATAATATTTGAGTAACTGTTTTGAAAATGTGACTGAAGGTACTTTTTAGTTTAATTCATTAGCTGTAAAAAAAAAAAAAAAAAATCCTGAATTAGAATTAGTTACAATGTATGCAGTCAATGAGAGAATGTGTTCATTATTTTTAACGCATGGAACAAACTAAAAAGCAGATTATAGTCTTAATGGACAGTGATTTTACTTAGGACAAATAGTACAAAAGTAGTAAACATGTTGCTTTAAGCTTTCAATAATGTATATAAGGCATGCATAGCTCTGAGCTCTGGAAGATTTCAGATAACATTATCCTAAAAAAATGTATTATGTTGTTTCTGTAAAGGTAAATGTAGGTATAAGTTATTTAATAAATATTTAATAAATTAAAACTTATTAATCTAAGTTGTTAATTGCATAACTCCTCTATTTAAACAGAAAAAAAGTTCTGAAAGGGATCAAGCCTCAGATAGGTACAAAAAAGTAATGCAAAAGTAACTCAAAAGTAACTAAATGTATTACTTACCATAAAAAGTAACTAGTAATGTAACTAGTTTTTTTTTTTTTTTTTTTTTTTTTTTTGTGGTGTCACTCAATATTGTAATGCATTACTTTCTAAAGTAACTTTCCACAAATATCTTTAAAACATAAAGAGATAGTTCACCCAGAAATATAAAATTTGCCATCATTGACTCACCCTGGACTTGTTCAAAACTTACTTGAGTTTCTTTCTGTTGAACACAAAAGAAGCTATTTTACTAAATGCTGGTAGCTGTCACCAACTGACCTCCGTATTTTTTTCCTAAAATGGAAGTCATTGGGTCTCAGCAACCATGATCAAAGATGAATCAAGAATGAAACCATTTTAGTAAATTGTGGCCATGTCAAATTGCAACAAAGGGAAGAAATCATTGCAGTTTGGTAAAATAAGGTATCAAATTATTAAATTACAAAAAAAATATTTAATTACTAAAATGGGCCCACTTAAAGAGTTCACTCAACATGTGCTCTTCACTTATTCACCCACACATGGTTCCAAAGCTTTCTGAGTTTGATATTGAAAATCCAGTAGCCATTGACCTCCAAAAAATAAAAATAATATGGCAGTCAACGATTATTCATTTTCAGCATTAAAAGTACCTTCTTTTGTTGCCAACAGAAGAAAGAAGGAACTCAAATAGGTTTGAAACAAGCGGGGGATAAATTACTGATGACAGAATATTCATTTTTGGGTGAACTGTTCCTTTAAACTGTAACATTGTTCAAATATATAAATTAGTATAGCTAGGCCCAATCTTAATTCTACCCCTTAGCCCTTCCCTTTACCCCTACCCCTCATTTTGCGCGTGCCCATGTAGGGGTAGTGGTGTCCCAATTCTCTTTAGCTTGAAGGCGTTGTGCTAAGGGCAAGGGGTATACACCCCTTCAAACAAAGACTTTTCAGGACCACACTTGAAACCAAGGGGCAAGAAAATTTCCCAGAAAACACTAGCTCCAGCTGCACCCGGAAGTAAGGAGATCCACAAATTAGTATTTTTTGTCATTATTACGATGTTTTACAACAAACAAACACGTTTTAATATATTCATAGCCGCGTCCATGTTTTACAGTCATGCTCTTTTAAGAAAACGCTTAAATAAACACCGCTAAATTTTGCGATCTTTAATCCCTAATCATAACTCCTGTTCAGCAGTCCCACAACTTTCTGACACTCGATGACACTGGAATACCCTGTCAGAAAAGTCTAGTGGCTGTCAATGAGCTTTTTACAGTGTCTGCTATAATATTAATACTGCTTTGGTGTGTTTACATAGATGATCACTGTGATAAATGCACATTATTACAATCTTATTGCCACATTAGATCATCATGATAACATAATATATATTATAATATATCATGTGCAAGTGCTGTACATAGTGCTGTCTCAATTCTTAGGGGTAAATTTTGAAGCCCTTCCCCTTAACCCTCGGATGTAAGGGGGAAGGGGTAGGGGTACAAAAATAGAATTGGGATTGGGCCTTGTGTGAGATAGTTAGACAGTTAAATATGAATGTTTATTTGTGTTCATAATACTTTTTTTTTTCCCCAGTGGCATGCTACAGTATGTGCGGAGCTTTCTAAATTTGATTGAATTTCAGAAAATAATGTTAACAGCAGTGGTTGTTGATCGAGCACTAGCTTTAATCTTCTAAATCCAGACAGTACAAACAAATGTGCAAAGTGAAAATATATCCCTGCAAGTCCAGTGTTGTGCAGAAGTGATTTGCTTTGTTTCTCTGAGACTACATAACTGCACACTTCACAGAGTCCTATAGTGACATTTATTATGTAACACACACGGAGCCTGGAGGAAGTCACAGCTCCAGAGCTGAGAGTCATGATGGTGCTCGTAACTCATGCATGTCATTTTGATGAGAACGAGGTAAAGGACATTTATTAGATATCTACTTAATATTCCTAACCTCTCCCCACAACCATATGATTGATATACATTGAAGAAGCAAAAAAAAAAAAGAGTGAAAAACTAGACCACACAGGAATGACAGGGGTCAGGACCACCTGAGACTTTAAAGACAACATGAATGAAGGGAAACTTGTGTCACGGTGTATATGGTAACCGCAAGTGTTGTTGCAATTTGCAAAAAAGGAACCCGAGTCACATTACGCCCAGATTAGACTGCTATTATTAGGATCTTCAGTAAACCCCCCAGCACTGCAGAGAATGCATCCCCCCTAAAAATAACACCCGCACATAGTGTGTGTCTATCTGTATGAGTGCACTGCACTTAAAGGACCCACGGAGACCACATCCTCACATTATCAGCTCTAAATAAAGATAACTGCTCATATCCTACAAAAAGCAATTGCTATGCAGATACATCATTCAAAGTGGCTTTAATAGAGGGTATTCAGAGCCTTAAATGGATAGTTCATCCAAAATAATGTAAGTACTCACATTTACTCACACTTAAATTGGCCCTATTAAACTTTACAAGTATAAATTTTATTAATCCGGGGTCGCCACAGCAGAATGAACCGCCAACTTATCCAGCACATTTTTACGCAGCGGATGCCCTTTCAGCTGCAACCCATCTCTGGGAAACATCCACACTCACACTTATACACTACAGACAATTTAGCCCACCCTATTCACCTGTACCGCATGTCTTTGGACTTTGGGGGAAACCGGAGCACCCGAAGGAAATCCACGCGAACGCAGGGAGAACATGCAAACTCCACACAGAAACGCCAACTGAGCCGAGGTTCGAACCAGCGACCTTCTTGCTGTGAGGCGACAGCACTACCTACTGCGCCACTCCATCGCCTGCTTGTTCAAACTACTTATGTAAAATGAGCTGAATCAGCAAAATTCTTGCGTTTTTTGCGGCAACTTAATTGTTTGATGTTACAATACGCTTAAATTTTAACTTAAACGATTTGTTTTGGGACAACAGAAATGGAATTGTGTAGAAACCCAGCATTTTTACAGTGCAAAAGACAGTATATACTGAATAATGCTGAAAGTTTCCAACATTCTTCAAAGTATCTTTTTTTGTGTTCAACGGAAGAAGGTCAGACACTTTTGAAGAACTGCTTAGATGTACTTTTCAGAGTACACTAAAAAATATAGTAAAAAATATAATCCCTTCATGTCATCCTGACAAAAAATCAATCGAGTTTACTTAAGAGAAAGAGTTTACTTTCTACTTTGTGGATTTTTAAATTGATTGAACATAAAACAATTAGAAAAAACTCAAGAATTGTGTTGTTTCCAGACATCCTAAGTCTCCTGGAAGTTGCGGGAGTATCACGCAAAAGCATAGAGACTCCCGGATGCCCGCAAATGAACGATCATCTCCCGGAAATCTCCCGTGTCTCTCGCCCGGTCCTTATATACGTTGCACACCCCTCACTCCACTGTATCCCTCTTAGCTCTTCAGGTACGTCACGGGCACACGTCCCCCTACTCAGATATGTCGCCCCGCAGATATGTCAGATATGTCTTCAGGCACCCACTCTCCCGCTACATCACACAAATCAACTCTGTATCCCCTGGAAATTAATTTATCCAACTTGGGATGTCTGTGTTTCAGCTCATTTTAAATATGTAGGCTGAAGAAAAAGCGAAATAATTTTTAGAGTGTATTAAAGCTTTCCATTACTTACTTGAGTCCACAGCGCCAACACAGTCAGTTTGGCATGGTATTATTTATGTGACGATACCTTTCATCTCTCTGATGAAAATATCAGATGCCTACTGACTGCCAACAATTACATTCCTGAAACTGGATAAGTGGCACATTAACAGCATAGCTGACCCATAGACGTGTACATTAAACTAGAGCTACGTGGGATTCCAGTCTATACATGAACATAATGTTCTGTGCATAACGAAATAATAACTTGAAAGCTGCTGTCAGAGCATCTCAAAGACACTTCGGTCATTAGAAGAGGCTCTATTTCTGGCCATGAAGTCATGTCGTAGATAACAAAAATCTTTAAAGAGGGGCTTCACACAACATTTACCTCATCATTTGTGGCTGTAGACATGAATTCTTTTCTTAAGTTGAAGAAAAATTACTGTGGAAGTCATCACAGCAACGGTACCAGCATTTTAAAAAAATATCTTATTTTGTGTAAAGTTGGGTCATTTCACTTGGCGGCCGCATCTTTAAAACACCTCTAGGCAGTATGCTCAGGCATTCTGTCTGAATGTGGAAACATCAAATTCTCCACAATTGCTTGCCAAGTTCATGATTACATTTCATTTAGCAATCAACAATAAGGTTAAACAACAACTGTGTCTTTAATTTCATTTCTAAATGTTAGAGTCACACAAAATCTGCAGAAACTCTCGTCTGGTCCGAGCCCCTCTCTCGTAGTTTCTTCAGTCTATAGCGATTGCGGATTGGCTCGTGTACTAGAAGGCGGGGCTTCATTCGCCATGTTGACCGTTACACTTTTCCCAATTTTAAACTACACAAGTGACACGTCTTGTGTATTCAACAGTCTTTGTGTTCAGCAGAAGAAAACAACTCAAATAGGTTTTAAAAACCTACTGTATGTAGGCATTTAATGGTATACTGTATGTTTTCTTAAAGTAATATGATTACGTATTATTCTATGAAGGCTTTAATGTCTCTTACTTCCACAGACTTCAAGAGGAGATCCACCAGAAAGAGGAAGCTGAAAACAACCTTTCTGCTTTCAGAGCTGTATGTACTTTATGTCATCTTTACTTTTCAGTCGAATTTTGTTTAAGAAAAAATTTCCTTGAAGAAAGTTAGGAAGAAAATTGAATGACAGATATAATATGGCCAAAATGTAAGCGTTCTATATTTGTTTAAATTATGGTTAGCATGATAGAAGTGCACAGGGCTTAACTCCAGAATTACTTCACAAAATTAATCCAAACATTCCTGATCAATGCGTAAAATGCAATGAAGAGACAGGAACTTTATATCATTGTTTATGGAAGTGTCCTTTGATTAAACAATTTTGGGAGAAAATTCTTAACTTTTTATCTATAGCAATAAAACAGGATATAACCAAATGCCCAAAACTGTGTATTCTAAATATATTTCCTTTTACAAGCACTTTTACTAGTTCAGATAAGAAACTGTTAACTTATTACAGGCAAAACTTATAATAGCAGTACAGAAATAGAGAAAGCCCGCATTTTGGACAATGGTTGCGGGAATTGTCTTATTGTTTAGCTTTAGAAAAATTAACTTATATAGTCAAGAAAAAACCTGAAGTTTGAAGTTTTTCAAAATTTGGAAGCCCTTTTAGGTGTCCTGAAGGAAGCTGATACAAATCTTTTCTCTCTATAACTTGTATTACCTGCTATTGATATACCGTTGTTGTGATTGGATGTACCTTTATATTGTGTGTGAAAGTACATGCATTTACTAATATGTTTATATAATTTGTATTATTACTATTCATATTTTCATTTATTTATTATTTTTTATATTGTTTTACTTTTCATTTATTATCATGAAGGTTATTATCATGCATTATTAGTTTGTATGTTTGAATCTGATTTCTGTTGTACATGTTAAAAGCTACTAAAATTAATAAAAACAGTGTTAAAAAAATAAAAATGAAAAGAAATATGAAAAAAAGAAATGCACAGGGCTAAAAACATTTTTTCCACATGATGATGAAGATAATTATTATACTTTTATCGATGATAATGATGATTTTATTATTATTCATTCATTCATTCATTTTCTTTTCGGCTTAGTCCCCTTTTTTATTAATCCGGGGTTGCTACAGTGGAATGAACGGCCATATTATCCAGCACATGTTTTACACAGCAGATACCCTTCCAGCTGCAACCCTTCTCTGGGAAACATCTATACACACTCAATAACACTCATACACTATGGACAAGCCTACCCAATTCACCTGTATCACATGTGTTTGGACTGTGGGGGAAACCGGAGCACCCGAAGGAAACCCACACGAACTCATGCAGAACATGCAAACTCCACACAGAAATGCCAACTGACCCAGCTAAGGCTCTATTATTATTATTATTATTGTCATAATTTTGTTATTTCACGTAAAACATAAAAGTAAGATTTAATAGAAGTAAGATGTTAAAGGATGTATTTTTTTTTCAGTTCAGATGTGAATTAAAAGACTTTTTATTATGCTTGACCACAGATAGGTAAATTATTCCTATTACAAACTTAGGAAGAAACTTGACACGTTGCATTTTCAAATTCACTAAAATTCACAGCACTTAGGATCCAAGCTCTGAGAAACTGAACGTGGTAACGTGAGCTGCTCATGTGAAAAAAATCTAAATGCTTGGTTACGCTGCATTAAATGACATAATTACTCAAAAGAGTAAAACCCAGTGGGGCTAGAAGGGCATCTGCCACATAAAACATATGCCAGAGTAATTGGTGGTTCATTCCACTCTGGCCACCCCTGATAAATCAGTGACTAAGCCAAAAGATAGTGAGTGAGTGAGTGAGTGAGTGAGTGAGTGAGTGAGTGAGTGAGTGAGTGAGTGAGTGAGTGAGTGAGTAAATAAAATCCAGCTTGATCTCAGAAGAAAACATAACTATGTATTGTCAGTTTCTAATTTGTAGTAAAAACATATTTATAACATTTGGCTCTACATAGGAGATTCATAGAGACATGAATCATTTGACTCAGGCAACCAATCAGCATCTCAATATGATAATGAAGTTTACAAGCCACGCCCCCAATCCATTTAAATACGCTTAATAAGTGTTCCATACACTGCCATTATAATAAACCCCACCCCTTTGCCCAACAGTCATTGTCGGATGAGCAAATAGTATTAAAATGAAGTTCACAAGCCACGCCCTCAAACTGATCCCATAGCCTTTCATTAAGACAGGCCTAGATGCATATCTTTGCATAGCAGTGTCATACAGACTTGGGGGTTGGCTCATTTGACTCAGACAACCAATCAGCTTTTCAATATGATAATGAAGATTTTAAGCCACATCCCCAATCCATTTAAATACCCTTAATAAGTGTTCCATACACTGCCATTGTAATAAACCCCACCCCTTCGCCCAACAGTCATTGGTGGACGAGCAAATAGTACTAAAATGTGTGACTAAGATTCATTGAATTAGCCTTTTGTTTAAAAGTTACACATTTTCAGGAGATTCCATTGACAAAACCATGCTCTCTGTTAGAATAAACAAAAACATATTTATTTTTTGGGGAGTGTTAAAATTTAGGCCCTGTATACATGCATACAAATGAATGAAATGTAAATAATAGAAATGTCTGAATACCTGCACAATGATTGTATTGTTTTCTGTAGGATGTCGATGCTGCCACTCTGGCCAGGCTGGACCTGGAAAGACGTATCGAGGGTCTTCACGAAGAGATTGCATTCCTCAGGAAGATTCATGAGGAGGTTTGTGTTCATCCAATTTACACCCCTTATCATTTTCCAAGACTGTATACGTGAATAACCGTTCATCTCTGTGTCTCTGACCTCCCCCACTCTCATACCCAGCATACAACACATACAATGACCTTTACTCACGAGCCTCTGAAGTCAAGTTCTTTAAATGTTCTCTGTTTTTTATTTGACATGTAAGGCTGAAATGGTCGCATGTGTGTCTGACAGTGAGGGGGCAGTGTAAAGCTGCGCAACAGATGCATCCCTATAATTAAACAGAGACAGATTCTCTGAGACACAGCTGTGAGCAGAGCAGTGGGAAAAGAAAAAGGCCTTACAAGGCCCCACAGTCCTACAATTAGCCATCAGAGATGAGAGGGAGAAAAATGCAACTGCAATCAAGAAAATAAAGGGTGTTAATGGCATCTGTGGTTCAATGAAGAACTGTTTATGTTCATACAAGCTTTCACTGCTCCAAATGTTCTATGAGGTGTAAGAAGGATCTAAATGTTTTTCAAACTAAGGGTTCTTTTAAGAGCTGTTCCCTAAACAGTTCTCAGGTTCTCATGATTCTTCTCTGGCATCACAGACCTCTTTTAGTGTAAATTAAGGATTTGGAAGTTTAAAGACTATAAAAGTTTTTTGGGTCCCACTTTATATTAAGTGTCCTTAACTACTATGTACTTACATCAAAAAATAAATACATTGTACTTAGTGTGTTTATAATGTATTTGAGAACACTTGTGGTGCTTTTGAGTTGGGATAGAGGTTGGGTTATAGACAGGTTTGGTGGTGTGGGTAGGTTTAAGGGTGGGTTAAGGTGTAAGGGATGGTCAAAAGTTTATTTACAAATGTAATTACAAAAATTTATTACAGATGTAATTACATACATTTATTTAAGCATACGTACACAGTAAATACATATATTTACACAATAAGTGCATTGTAACAAACTATTAATTCCTGTGTAAGTACATATTAGTTAAGGCCACTTAATATAAAGTGGGACCGTTTTTTGTTGTTGAACCGTCAGTGACAGTAAAGAAGTCACAATGACCATCGCATAATAATATTTATATAATTTATTTATAGAATATTGCAGCATTTATAATAAATCTGAAATCAAAATGACTTTCCTTCCTCTTGCACTGCCTTCTCATCTTTTCTCCTGAGACCTCGCCCATTGACTTTTGTCCTCTGTAGTGGACATTGTGTTTTCATGAATTTTCTTAGAATTTTTTTGAGCTACTCTGTCAAATCCTGTTGTACTGTTCAGAGGACATCTTTGCTTTCTAGTGATATGTCATTTGATTGGCTGGCATGCTAGGAACCACTTCTTACACGGCATCCAAAATGGCCGACATACAAACAAGCACATTTTATGGGAAGGAGAGAATAGGGTATTTGCCAAGCTAGTGTGTTTCCCATGCTGACAAACTTCCCGTTACCTGTTATTGTGAGTTTTTTCCATCTTATATGGTTTCTTTTACAGCATTGATGTTGTAATGTAATTCAAATACAATCAGTTAAATAAACTTTGGCATTCATTTAGTTGCTCAAGCCTAAAACGAGACAAAAAGCCATTTGCTTGCATGCGCCCGTCAGAATCGGCAGGCTAGCGCAGAAGCTCCATTGAATATACTGGGGTAAAATAAATGCTCATATTATAAAGACATGGTGGGGGGAAATGTAATTTAATGCAGTGCTTCTTGTACAATCTGAGACCCACTTTATATCGGATATCACTCAGCCAGTGGAGATTGCTGATTTTGAAAGAAAACAAGACCTTAAACGTGCCGATTTTGCATTGGCATATAATTCAGCGGAAACGATTAACCCAGGTTACTGGCAAATTAAAATTTCCATTAGCATGCTTCGGCAAGTACCCTATTATGTAAAATTTAGCTTTTTAAATGTTTTTTTTTTTTTTTTTGCTATTATTATTACATACAGTTGAAGTCAGAATTATTAGACCCCCATTTGATTTCTTCTCTTTTTTAAATATTTCCCAAATGATGTTTAACAGAGCAAGAAAATTTTCACAGTATGTCTGATAATATTTTTTCTTCTGGAGAAAGTCTTATTTGTTTTATTTCGGCTAGAATAAAAGCAGTTTTTAATTTTTTAAACACCATTTTAGGGACAAAATTATTAGCCCGTTTAAGCAATGTTTTTTCTCAATAATCTACAGAACAAACCACTGTTATAAAATAACTTGACTAATTCCCCATAACCTGCCTAGTTAACCTAATTAACATATTTAAACATTTAAATGTCACTTTAAGCTGTATAGAACTGTCTTGAAAAACATCTAGTCAAATATTATTTACTGTCATCATGGCAAAGATTAAATAAATCAGTAATTAAAGATGAGTTATTAAAACTATTATGTTTAGAAATGTGTTGAAATTACGCATTACACAGAAATTGGGGGAAAAAGTTAAAGAGGGGGGGCTAATAATTTAGGGGGGCTAATAATTTTGAATTCAATTGTATATATTTGTTTATTAAAGTGTCAGGAACAGTACATTTAGCTTTCAAAGCTGTTAAGTTGTTTGTGTTTCAAAATATCATCCTTTTTTAAACGTCAACTATAGTGGACACCAGGACCATCGTAATGTAATTAATTAATGACCGCATGTTGTAGGAACTGAAGCAGAGAGGATTCTTTATAAGATGGGGGAGACTCTGATTTAGAGTCTGACAATTAGGGAATTAGAGACAATTAGAAAATGACAATCAATCGCTTTCGTGTTGAATTTGTTTTGGATTAACATCACTTCTTCTTTTTTGAGTTCGGCTCTCTTTCAGACTAAACTGTTTCAGGAATTTCAATACAAAAGGAAAAAACGGCTTTTGTTTTGTTTTTGTTACATTAATATTGGATTAATATACCTTCACAGCCATATCCTGTAAATTTTTTTGTTTTGTTTTTTCGTGTACGTTTGGCTCTAATTTGGAACTAAAATGGTTCTGTGGTCCACTACTGTGGACATGCTGTAAAATTAAAAATAAAAACAAATTGTAAAAACTCAAAATTGTAGATTTTTTTAACAAGATTTTTTTTTTTTTTTAAAAAGAAAAACATTTCTTTGGGTCTCAGGAGGATATTGAATTGACTGACAGGGACAACCTTTCACTATGGAGCATAAAATATGATGATGTGAACATGCATAGTGTGTCAATAGAATTGCTGTATGTCAGTCTAGCGTGTGTGTATACAAACATCAAACATTATAATGCCTCAATAAACTGTGCATGTCTAAATAAATAAGGTCAAAACACACACTCGCCAAACAAAACGCTAATTAGTGCCTTTTGAAGCTATGTATCTGTGTTTGCCTTTTTCCTTTAGGAGATCCGTGAGCTGCAGAACCAAATGCAGGAGAGTCAGGTGCAAATCCAAATGGACATGTCCAAACCAGACCTGACTGCGGCCCTCAGAGACATTCGCCTGCAGTACGAGGCTATCGCTGCCAAGAATATCAGCGAGGCCGAGGACTGGTATAAGTCTAAGGTCTGTATCAGAGATAGATTCAGCTAGATCACACATTTCAAAGGCTGTACGGCCAGTTAGAAACATGATAGTTACATTAGCATCCACATCAATGCACAATAGCATTCAATTTTACCATCTACCCCTTTAAATTCTTCATGAACCGGAAGTTGCTGAGACTTTTATTTCAGTATGTTGATGTACTTACAACTGAAACAGAATAATGAGTACGGGGTGAGGCTTTCTTATTGTGCATTCCCTCGTAGTAAAGTAAAGGGGGTCACACATCGAATGCGCTGCTTGGTGCCAGACCGAACTACGCAGCACCATGCATTTGATATTATAAAGATAGATTCCTATCAGTGTATGCACACCAGCGCCACAAGTCAGCGGCTGTCCATGGTGCCCAGCCATGACTTAGGTCACTTTTCATATTTTTGCCATGAATACTATCCTATTAAATAAAGTTCAAATGTGCTCGTCTGGTGTGAAATACTTCCAACTGTCTTGTGCACACAGCGTCAAAGCGCTAAACGGTGCATCGGTTCGCGGTCCCCTTAACAGTAAAAGTGGCTGAAGCTGTCAAACTGACATCAGAAAAGGACCACCATAAAAGCATATGGTCAGACTTTCATTTCATTACAAAAACAAACATTTTTTGTGACAAACATTAATTGTTCACATAAAGAACCGCAATGTGCGCTAGCAAAATAAACATTTGTACATATGATTTCACATAGACTTTAAATGCTTGAGCTCTTTAAAGCAGAATCAGTTTCTGAATGGCTGACAGTATTATTATTATTCAAACCCAGCTGGAAGACAATCATTCAGGGGTGCGTTTCCCAAACAATGACGTAACTCACGGCTGAACTATCATAATACGATGCATCGTTTGGGAAAAGAACTATGTAGTGATGAGTGATGAGATAGTTGTTTCTCTGTCGCAGATCCATTGCTTGAACCACATTAGTTATAACGTAAAACACATATAATGACGCTCTAAACAGGGCAAAGTAACTACTTCTTTAGAGAAAAAACCATAATTTCTTTGTGCAAATTTTATTATTTTACTCGCATATATATTTAAAATAAAATCCATTATCAGATTTGGTAAAATCATGCACTCGCATTGCATATTAACTGAAATATATGTAAACGGTTCGTAGGGTCTGTGTTTCCTGTACTAGTATTATTAAGAAGTTGAACATTACATATTCTATTCTAAAACATATCACTTAAAAAAGATAACACGTATTCTAACATCATATAAATCATATAAATCATATAAATAAATAAATAAATAAATAAATAAATAAATAATGAGGCGATTTATTATAAAATGAAATGTCATATTTATTATTTATTAGAAATGAAAAAATGATACTATAATAATAATATAAACTATGCAGAATTTTATTATTATTATTACTATTATTACTATTATTATTATTAAGTAGTGTATTGTTTATTTATGTGTGTTTATTTTTTTAGAAAAGTGTACTTTTACAATTTGACACATGTAAACCACTGCAGAAAGTTCTAACCAGCAGGCCCATGTCATATACAGTACAGATACTTAATAAATAACCCACTATAAGTTAAAATAATTAATGTATGCTTTTTGTTTTCACAAGCTTTAGAGACATAACATAAATTCTGCTTTAAATAATAGGTCACCTATAGCTTTCTCTTTGAGGCTGTGTTCAAAATGACATCAATATGTTCAAAGTGCCATGTCAAGGGAGCACAATTGTAAACATGAAGATCGCTAAAACTGAAGTGTAAAAATAGTTTGAAAGCAAATTACATCTAAGAGAGATGGCATTAATGCTTTTTTATTTTTAATAATTCCAACTTTGAATGTTAGAAGGTTCTAAATGAATAGGGCATAGGGGGGATAAGTGGGAATAGAACACAGCCAGGAACTGTTTCTAACTACAGCTCAAGTTTGCGACGCAGTTTACGAATATTTGTTGGAACGATGGATTTGTAAAACGGTAAATTAACGAACTAGGTTTGTAACGATGGAACTTGCACCCTTAGTTGGCTAACAATGGTTTTGGTAAACGCACCCCTTATAGTGATTCCATTGATATTGTTCCTCTTGTTCATTATCATTACACTGTCAGTGTGGACTTTGCTATTCTTCTACATTTTGAACCATGTTTAGAACTATTTATTTACCAATATAATTATAGTTATAATACTTTGTGTGAAAGAGCCTTTATTCAGATGAATGACAGCAAGATAATGTGCTTTGCTTCGCCCACAGGTTTCAGATTTGAACCAGGCAGTGAACAAGAATAACGAGGCTCTCAGAGAAGCCAAGCAGGAGACCATGCAGTTCCGTCACCAGCTCCAGTCCTACACCTGCGAGATTGACTCTCTCAAGGGCACCGTAAGTGTTTCAAGATACTGTCCATGGCCTCCAAACCCAATTTACCAGCCAAAACAAATATTGGCTGAGCCTCCAAAACACCTGCACCAACTGTATTACTAATTATGAAGTCCTTACTATGTTCCCTCAGGAGAGCAAATTTTATTCAGTAAATAGCCAAATTAATTTAAACTGAATAATAATTAATAATAATAATTAGTAATAATAATAATAATAATAATAATAATAATAATAATAATAATAATAATAATAATAATAATAGTAATATTAATATTATTATTAATAATAATAATAATAATAATAATAATAATAATAACAATAATAATAACAATAATAATAATAATAATAATAATAATAATAATAATAATAATAATAATAAATAACAATAATAATAACAATAGCTTAATAATTCTAAACTGACTGCATAAAGTCTGGAGTCCAAACATTCAGTGCTCGCCATTAGATTTTAAAATATTCAGATATTTAGATATACTTCAGATACTTTTCTTGTCGGCCTAACCTTTTACACAGGCACAATATGTAAGATTTATTTTATTAAAATATCCAAAAACCACTAGAACAGTGTTATATATTTTTGCTGACTTATTCCAAATGTTTTAAAGAATGTTCAAATTCAAAGAAATAATGTGATTTGAGCACTATAACACAAACTTAAAATGTATTTAGAATGATAAACAGGAAGAACGGGACTGGAAGAGCCAGAAATGGTGGACTGTGGCACAATAAAAACTCCTCTTTTTTTATTGAGTGCTTTTCCCCTCATTAATTAAAACTACATCTTTGTTTGTTATGAATATGCGCCCTCTGCTGTTGAAAATGACATAGTGTGCCTTCAAGTGGAATATATTTCTCTTTGTATTATTATATCATTAAAAGAAAGTAATCCAAACAGTAATCTAAAAGTAGTCGTTTGGATGTTCTCTAAATAATGTAATACATTGCATGACTAGCTACAGTTTTTATCATGTCACTTTGCAATGAGTAATGAACAACAACGATTGTAAATCAGTTTGACTCACACTTGCTGGTGCTTACTCTCTTTTTTTGCAGAATGAGTCTCTGAGGAGGCAAATGAGTGAGATGGAGGAGCGGCTGGGACGTGAGGCCGGTGGTTATCAGGACACTATCGCCCGTCTCGAGGCTGAGATCGCAAAAATGAAAGACGAGATGGCCCGCCACCTCCGCGAGTACCAGGATCTGCTGAATGTGAAGATGGCTCTGGATGTGGAGATCGCCACCTACAGGAAGCTTTTGGAAGGAGAGGAGAGCAGGTAAGAGAGAAAGGGCTCTTGTAATGTTTATGAACTGATTTAATACTGCACATTTCATATTGTTATTTCTGTTGATTTCAGGATCTCGCTGCCCGTGCAGTCCTTTTCATCCCTGAGTTTCAGAGGTAAGCTCTTTGTAGTTTACTTTCATGCCCCTTAAAGGGATAGTTCACTCAAAAATGAAAATTTACTTACCATTCATTCACGCGGAAGTGGTTCTGAACTTTTTTTGTTTTTGGTTCTTTTTTTTTTCTTTTTTTTTTTTACTTCTGTTTCAAAAACTTTTGTCTTGATTTTTAATAAAAGCTGCACAGCCTTCAATTAATATTTTACCACAAATTCCAAAGACGTAGGCAATATTTAGTTTTTAAAAAATTACAAAATAGTTGGAGAAACACATCAAACTGCAGTTATTAGTAGAAGCAGCAGCAGTAGTAGTAGTAGAAGTAATAGTAGTGGTATTAGTAGTAGTAGTAGTAGTAGTAGTAGTGGTTTTGGTAGTGGTAGTAGTAGTAGAAGTAGTAGTAGTGGTAGTGGTGGTGGTAGTGGTAGTGGTAGTAGTGGTAGAAGTAGTAGTAGTAGAAGTAGTAGTAGTAGTAGTAGAAATAGTAGTAGTTGGCGTAGTAGTAGTAGTAGAAGTAGTAGTAGTAGTGGTGGTAGTAGTAGTAGTAGTAGTAGTGGTGGTGGTGGTGGTAGTAGAAGTAGTAGTAGAAATAGTAGTAGTTGTGGTAGTAATAGTAGTAATAGTAGTAGTAGTAGTAGTAGTGGTGGTAGTGGTGGTAGTAGTAGTAGTAGTGGTGGTGGTGGTGGTAGTAGAAGTAGTAGTAGAAATAATAGTAGTTGTAGTAGTAATAGTAGTTATAGAAGTAGTAGTCGTAGTTGTAGTAATAGTAGTAGTAGTAGTAGCAGTGGTAGTAGTAGTAGAAGTAGTAGTAGTGGTAGTGGTGGTGGTAGTGGTAGTGGTAGTAGTGGTAGAAGTAGTAGTAGTAGAAGTAGTAGTAGTAGTAGTAGAAATAGTAGTAGTTGGCGTAGTAGTAGTAGTAGAAGTAGTAGTAGTAGTGGTGGTAGTAGTAGTAGTAGTAGTAGTGGTGGTGGTGGTGGTAGTAGAAGTAGTAGTAGAAATAGTAGTAGTTGTGGTAGTAATAGTAATAATAGTCGTAGTAGAAGTAGTAGTAGTAGTGGTGGTGGTGGTGGTAGTAGAAGTAGTAGTAGAAATAATAGTAGTTGTGGTAGTAATAGTAGTAATAGAAGTAGTAGAAGTAGTTGTAGTAATAGTAGTAGTAGTAGTAGCAGTGGTAGTTGTAGTAGAAGTAGCAGAAGTAGAAGTAGTAGCAATAGTAGTAGTAGTCGAAGTAGCAGTAGTAGTAATAGTGGTACTAGTAGTAACAGAAGTAGTAATAGTAATAGTAGTAGTAGTAATAGCAGTAGTAGTAGTGGTACTAGTAATAGTAGTTGTAGTAGTAGTAGTTGTAGTTGTAGTAGTAATAGTAGAAGTTGTAGTAGAGGTAGTAGTAGTAATAGTAGTAGTAGTAGTAGTAGTAGTAATTGTAGTAGTAGTAGTAGTATTTGTAGTTGTAGTAGAAGTAGTAGTAATAGTTGTAGTAGTAGAAGGAGAAGTAGTAGTAGTATTAGTAATAGTAGTAGTGGTACTAGAAATAGTAGTTGTAGTTGTAGTAGTAGTAGTAGTAGTAATAGTGGTAGTAGTAGTAGTAGTAGTAGTAGTAGTAGAAGTAGTAGAAGTAGTTGTAGTAGTATTTATTTTAAATCAACAAAACAACTGTAAAGCATTTAATAACAAAGAATCTAAAATGATATGGTAAAAATGCACCTAACAATAGCAAATAACAAAAACATCAATAGTAAAAAAATAATTAATCATTTTAGGTGAAAACAGTCCTATGCTCATTCTCACATTGCTGCTGTGGAGTATAAACTCAATTTTTTTGTCAACACACTGTGTAAAAAACAAAGAACCTACAAGATGTCACAGTTTCACAAGATGCCAACACGAGTTTTTAGATGAACTACCCCTTTAAAATCCTTTATAGTTCACACACACACACACACACACACACACACACACACACACAAACAATGTATATTCTGTCATCATTTACATTTACTATTCACTTTTTTAAAACCTATTTTGGTTTATTTTTTCTGTTGAACACACACAAAGATTTTTAGAAAAATGCACCAATTGATTTCCATAGTATTTTTTTCCTCCTATGGAAGTCAGTAAGTGGCAGCAAACAGGAATTTTTCAAAATATCTTATTTTGTGTCAAAAAGAAAGAAACTCATAAAGGTTTAAAGCAGCATGAGGGAAAATAAATGAGGTCATTTTCATTGTTTGGGTGAATTATACCTTTAATATTACAGATAGTTGCCCAAAGCTCTTCTCTTATTCCACCACTAGGAGGAGCAAAGCTTTTGTTTTTTTATTCAAACACTTCCTCTGTTTTTGTTTTCTTGTTTCTGAGCAGCTCCTACAAAGATGGCATCAATAATGCAGTGTTTATGTACTTACCATGTGGAGGCTGAGTTTAATGATGCATGTCTGCGAATTGTTTCCACAGAGAGCAGTCCAGAGCAGCACCACCACCAGCAGCAGCAACCACAACGCTCATCTGAAGTCCACTCCAAGAAAACAGTCCTGATCAAGACCATCGAGACCCGCGATGGCGAGGTAACACACACAAACACACACCTGCCAGGGCGATAGTCATATCTTGATGCTGTTATTGTCATTAAAGGATTGTTCGGCAAATCCTCAAAGAGATCCAAACCTTGAGTTTCTTTTTTTTTTCCGTCAAACACAAAAGAAGATATTTTGAAATAGGTATTGACATCCATAGTGGTAAACAAAAAATAACAGTATACAGAAATCAATAGCTACATATTTCCAATGTTTTCTGAAATGTTTTCTTTTGTGTTAAGCAGTAAACCTGTCTAGACAAAAGGTTTAGAACTCTAAACAATACTACATTTTTGTGCTTGCTCAAACTACTTATTTAAAATAAGTCGAAACAACTCATCTCTTAATGTTTTTTTATGTCTTAATTGTTTTATGTTTAATCTACCTAAATCTGTAAAAATGATTGAGTTTACTTAAAGAGGTGGTGCAGAATGTAATTTTAAGGCTTGGTTGTGTTAGTAAGATGCAAAGCAATGTGTGCTCATGTTTCACTTGAAGGAAATCTATCAGTCAGATAAGTCAGATAAGACTCTAAAGTAATTCACGCAAAAGAGACGATGTACACATGCGTAGCCAAATTCACGTGCATAAAATCAAATTCACGTGCATAAAACCAAATTCACATGCGTAAAATATTTAGTTATATTCGGAAAAAAATTCACGTGCACAAACTAAAAATACATTTTCATAAAATACGTTTCACAAATGCAAAACACCATTTGCAAATGTATAATGCGGCATTTACACCAGACGCAGAACGCGCGTTAAGCGTGAGTGATTTACATGTTAAGTCAATTTAAATGCGTGAACAGACATCCTGCTGCGCGATACATGCGAATGGCGGGGCGCGAATGACGCGTATTGTGCGGTGCAAATGGCGCGTTATGTGCAAATGGCGCGGCACAAATTGAGCGCTTTGCACGTTTGATGCGCTTAACACGCGTTTCGCGTGAATCACTCGAGTTCGAAAATCTGAACTTTAGCGGACATTCGCGCTGCATTAAGCAATCAGGGGCTTGCTCTTGTGGAGCGGGATTGTGACATATCGCCTGTTGTCGGTGTCCCGGGGTTCATCAAACAGGGCTTGGCTCAGTCAGAAGCACCGCTGAAAGTCTCCGTCATCCAGGTTCACTTTCTGGAGGAGTTTATGAGCTCACAGAGCTGGATGCACCTCTGAAAGGATGTAGTGGACTCAGACACGACCCCAAACGTATCGATGCTGTTTTTCAGCCTTCATAAAACACATAAACACTGTAATTTACTTCATAAAATCCATGTTAGCCATTTAGCTATGAAGCTAGAGTCACCGGGCAGACAGAAGCCCTGCCCATCACGCGAAGCGGATTTGACACGCGAATTAAGCGAGGATTGACGCGTGAATGAAGCGAGTAAACTCAAATGTTCACGCGGCTATTTATGCGCCAATAGCTCAATTTATCCGCGCGTTCCACGTCTGGTGTGAACGCAGCATGAGAGTGTACAAAAAAGTTTTGAATGTTTAAAACTTGCGAGTTTATCCTGAATGAGAATGTGCAAATCCTCTTTCACGTACGACTCCCCCCGGATACGTGTGTGTGTATTTTTGAGACTGTCCTGGCAGAAGCAGGCAACTCGTACCTCTCAGCCAATCAGATGAGAGCTGTAGTCGATGTCAACCGCTCCGCGCTCCTTTTTGTGCAGTCTGTTCCTCTCCAACATGACGACTGGAAAAAGAGATGCGCAGGCTTCAAGCAAGAACTATTAAATTCCCTGACTTTCACTGACTAAAAACTTAATTTACATAATATCTAATGAATGTAAACAGGCTGCTGTTGTGCTTTAGTTGCCTAATATGTAAAATATACCCTATAATTTCGTAATAGATATATAAATATATCTCCTTTTCCCTGCAGGTGAAAATCAGGCATAAATAGGGCTGGCTAAAACACCTGTAGACTGAGCAAAGTAGGAGTGCCATCAAATAAAGTGTATTTTTTTCAAATGCAGTAAAATATGAAGGGTAAATGCGGTCAAAAATTCAATAAACTAATAAATATAACATGTTAATGCTGGATTTTTTAAAAATATGGTAACAGTAGCTTCTATAGTGTAATATGGTTTTGTGTTTAACAGAAGAAAGAAACTCAAACAGGTTTGAACCAGGTTTTACCATTTTTGAATCCATTAAGCCATTCTCCAGGTCTGGCGAGAGCTCTTGTAAATTAGCTTAGCATGAATTATTGAATCATATTAAACCATTTCCATTAGCATTCTCAAAAATGACCAAAGAGTTTCACTAATTTTCCTATTTAAAGCTTGACTTTTCTGTAGATACATCTGTTCTATGCTAAGCTAAGCTAAGCTAAAAATGCGTCAGACCTTGATATTGATTGAAGAATGGATTGAAATGAAAATGAACGAAAATGAATGAAAATCAACAGATTAATGCCTTTTTCACACGGGGCTTCAGCGTCAACGCTTGAGAGAGGGCGTATCTGAAGATAGCAGCGTCAGCCAATGAAATTAGTCAGCAATAGGCCACTGTCTAAGCTGGAGTATTTGCAGCGATCTGATTGGCTGACACATCTGTAGTCACTTGAAAAGTTGAGAAAGTCCCAACTTCTGCAGCGAGCAATGCCTCTGAAGCGGCGCAGATGGATCCACAATGCAGTTCAGCAACACCTGATGTCACCTATTTAAAGTGAATGGGAAGCGTTGACGCTGATGCCTCGTGTGAATGGGGCGTAAATCTGTGGAGTTGTAAAATTGTGTTCCTTTAATGAATTCTACAGACTTCATGAAGGTGTTTTAAACATAAACACATACACTGCCTACACTCATTTATATAATCATCATCCAAATAATCTATTTTACTCTAGACTAGGACAACTAGTGAGGGCATGAGCGCTCTCAGTGCTCAGCGTGTAAGTTCAGCCACGGCTCATTTGTTTTATCTACACTTTTCTAAACCCTGTTCCCTATTAACTGCACTACAGACTCCTCCAAACCTCATCCCTGCTGAAAAATCCAACTTAAACCAGCCTAGGCTGGTTGGCTGGTTTTAGCTGGTTGACCAGGCTGGTTTTAGAGGGGTTTTCCAGGCTGGTTTCCAGCCATTTCCAGCCTGGTTTTAGCTGGTCAGGCTGGAAAATGACCAGCTAAATCCAGCTAAAACCAGCTTGACCAGCCTGGTTTAAGCTGGATATAGCTGGTTTTGGCTGGACTCCCAGCTTGGCTTGGCTGGTCAAGCTGGTTTTAGCTGGTCATCCCCCAGCCTGACCAGCTAAGACCAGGCTGGAAATGACTGGAAACCAGCCTGAAAGTGGCCAAAACCCCTCTAAAAACAGCCTGGTCGACTAGCTAAAACCAGCCAACCAGCCTAGGCTGGTTTAAGCTGGATTTTTCAGCAGGGATGTGTATCACCGTTTGTTCCTCTGCTCAATATCACAGAGAGTGTTTCTGCACAGCCTAAAAGGAGATCTTCATATCTCAAAGAATGTCCTTTCACTCTCATTGATTTCCAGCTGCATAATGGCTGTTCTCACGTTTGGAAGCTGTTTCTTATTCACTTTTTGAAGCGTTCTGTTAATATGTGTGCATGTGTATCATCTGTATGCAATTCCATTACTCTTCCTCTAACTGTTCCCCTTGTTTCCGCTCTTTTCAGGTCGTCAGCGAGTCCACACAGCACCAGCAGGACGTCATGTAAAGCTTGAGAAACAGATCGAGTTTACAGAATGCCTTGCATTTTCACTGATGGCCTCAGGCTTTTTTAAGCACACACCCAGTATTGCCGTGACCCATTACCGCATGTGTGGATGACGCATGGAGACAAAAGGAAAGTGAGCTGAAAAACCAGAGGGAGGAAAAGTGGAATGGTGTGATGCTGAGCGTTCAGAAAGTGGCCAGATGAGCTCAGAGTTTCTGATTTAATGAATGTATGTGTGCGTGTGTGTGTGGTTGGGTCATATCTGAGACACTGTTCCACAGCAACAAAAACAATAAAATTCACTGTATTTTCTCCTATACAGTTGAGGCTCATTTTTAAATTAATTTTATTGTTTTCTTTTTAGTAACTGTTGTTCAAAATGGGTTTTTTATGTTTCCACTAATTTTCCATACAAAAGATTGACACATACACAGCAAATTCATCAGAGTTAAATTCTCGGTGTTGAAGCATTTCAGAGTAAAGTGTTGACGTTAAAGAGTTAGATTTTGACAAATGAATATAATAAGAGTTAGAATTGATTTTATTCATAGAGAAATCAAGGAGTTATCTTTTCAACACTTGGTGGTGTTATTTCCAACATCCGGGAATTCATGCAGCCCCAGTCACTGAAGAATTTTCCAGACGCCATTTTCCATCTGAGGTTTAGAACAGCAACTGGTGAGTCAAACTACCTAAATGTTGGTATTTTACTGACTTTCTTTAAGAAAATACAGTTGTAGACATATTGTTAAGTTAATGACTTTAGAATGGAGTGACAATTTTAAACTTCTGCGGTTCATTCATGGTCGTTTGTGTATCTAGCTTAACTGCATTACTATTCACTTCTTTTCAAGAATGTTTTTATATATGCTCACGCATACATAGTGCATAAAAACATCAAATGTACATGTTCAACGCATTTCTGTCACGCTTAATACCATTTTGTGCATTGTTTCCCATCTATAAAATAAAATGGACACTTCTCCTTTAATTTGAAGCAAACTAGCGAGGGAATCCCCAGAGCCGCCAAACAGCCTAACTTACTCTGCCCGGATGCTAACGGCAACACAGGACGGTTTCCATAAGCTCTGGAGAGTTTCTAAAACATATCTGGTGAGTAAATCAACACATGCTTACTTGTAAAAGGCTTCCTGACTAAAACATATGATTGTTTGTTATTTGTGTACGTTAATTTGGTTATTTTAAACACCGCGGCCCTTTTAAACTGGTTGATTCGTGGCCGTCCATATACCATTAGTCCATAGACTCGTGTGATAACGTACGCTTGAATTATATTAAGTGTTGACAACCAATAAAGTCGGAATGTTAACATTAATGTCTTTAAATGACCGCGTTAGCACTTTCTCTGACATTTAACGTTACAGAAGTCTCCCGGAAGTTGCGGGACTAACGTTAACGTTATCCCGCAAATGCACAGAAACTCCCAGATGCCCAAGTAGATGCCCGCAAATGATAATCTCCCGGAAATCGCGCGCCTCCCGCCCGGTCATTAAACACTTTGCACACCCCTCTCCACCGCATCCCTCCCAGCTCTTCAGGTACGTCGCGCGCAAGTCACCCCCACCGCTCTTTAGGTACGTCGCGCGCAACTCACCCCATTGCTCTTTAGGTACCCATCTCTCCCGCTACTTCCCGCAAATCAACTCTGTATCCCCCGAAAGTGACTTTTCCCAACTCGGGATGTCTGACGTTAGTAAGTTAGGCTATTTCTGTAGTCAGGAACATCTTAGTCAAACTTTTTCTCCCGCATGATATTGTGCTTATAGACTAAACCTAGCATGTACACAACATTTCCGTTTTATTAAAGACAATTTAGTGCGTTGTAAACAGCCACCTGTCTGTAAAATTAATCAACTGATTTATATTTGAGCAGCCTAAAGATGATACAGGTTTGATTTGTAGATTTATTATCAATAATCAACATCTGAATCAAAAGATATCTGAAAAGTGTGAGGCATACTTTGTGATGTTCATCTCTCTTTTTTATCTGAAGGTTATGCATATGTGTTAGATACTAATGTTTTGTTGTTTTTTAACAGACACAGTTCTCTATACAATAACACAAGACCCTGTGACGGTGACGGATGGTGTATTTCCAGTGTTGGTGAAATGACCAAGCACACCTTCTTGGTCATATGTGGTGATAATAATGAAGGTATGTTTGATAAAGTTCTGTATTTGTTTCACAATAAGCTGAGAGGGTATTAGAGCATTCAAGAATAACAAATGACACGAAGGTGATAAGTTTTGTATTGAGGGTGAACTATTACTTAAATAATGTTTTGCTCTTTGCTTTGCACTTTTTCTCTTCTGCTTATCCTAATATTTTAGATTATATTTGGACCTGAAACATCTGCTAGACTCCAGGAAAGGTGGCGTCAATACTGGACCTGAAAGGGCCTAACAAGTTGAATCTGGTAAAGAAACGTGCACGCACACACACGCAGGCACACACTTACATAAAACTTTAAGTTTATGAATATTTTTTACACTGTGGCCAATATTTTGGGGAAGTCAGCATCACTAAATGATATAAAAGATTTTAAGCTCCTCTAAATTTTGCTCCAAGTGTTGTGTTAAATTCAAGATTCTGGACAGACAGCTGCCTGTTTTTCCAGTTCTAGTCATAGTGGTTAACCTAATTGTTTTTGGAGATCCAAAAGTGATATATGTGTTTTTTCTACTTTTCCATATCCTGTCACCTCAACCAGCTGGGAGAGTCAAGTTGTGGATCATCATGAAGATTTTCAAAAGGTGAGTTTAGATTTCTTGAATGTTTTATTTACTTTAAATGTTCTTTTAAATATATCATAGAATTTGATTGCAATTTGTTTTCAAACATTTTTCTTAGTCATGCTGGAGTCTTGAAGAGTTCTTAGATGAGCATCACCCTATATCCATGCATCAGCAACCACCAGACGAGCGATCAGCAGCTACTACATCATCATGGATAAAACGGTCATCCTGTGGCTGGGAAGCAGTTCATTCACAGGACATGCTTGATGAGATTTCCTAGCTAAAGTTTGTTTTCACACAAGTTTACAGCAATTATACCTTCATAAACTGCTGTGTTTGATATGGAGGACCAAGGAAACACCAGAAGTAAAAGATTTGCAAGCCAAGTTGTTTAAAATGTCATTTCAGAAGAAAACTATGCGTTTAGAAGAAAACTATGAGTGACACTATATTGAACTTTCAAATTGCACTGATGAAACATCAAGTTTGGACTAAAGGACTGAAACTATTTTGTTGATACTGTCTGTACTAATAAAAAATTTAAAGCATATTTGACATTGTTGCATTTTAAAAACTGAATGAATTGTTGAAGCGGTGAATGTTTTCAAATAAAATGTTTTTTCTTTTGTAATTTACAGTCTATTTGACCTTTTTACCATATTTACACTCAAGAGAGTTGAATAAAATAACAACATATTGTAGTAAAAAAATTACTACCAGGCGGTGTTAAATATAGTTACATTTTTTAACTCTGCCCAGAGTTAAAATTAACCCTTACTTCGGTGTCAATGTGCCAACCCTTTTGAAAGTGTTGATTTAACTCAGTTTTGAGTGGACCCCATGAGACACTTTCAAAGTGTTGAAATTAACACCCATAGAGTTGTTTTGGGTCCTCATATTTTGCTGTGTATTAGCCTATTCTAATACATGTTTGTATTAAACTATGATAATAAAATATGTTTGTAACGATGGAACTTGAGACCTTAGTTGGCGAACGATGGTTTTTGAAAATGCACCCCAGATTAATGAGTACCGATTGAGTCATGAAATTATCAGCCAATATCGATCTTCTGCCGATCGATCAGAGCATCCCTAATTGAAATATAAATTTATATAATCTAGTTTCAAATTAACAACGATATAGATGTATATCTATATTTATATATTTGTGCTCAGATGTTTAACTGTCAGCTTATGATTTGAATCCAACGCGGAAAAAAGTAGTTCCTCATACAAAAGGGTTTTTGAGACTCTCCATGTTTGATTTTGTTTTGTATATACACAATTATGCCGTCAAACTATTGTATAAATGCAATATCACACTCGTAGAAGTGCAATATGGCTGTATATCGGCACTAGGGGGGGGGGGGGGGGGGCAATAAGGCACGCCTCCCACCAGTGCTGATTTATAGCCGATATACAGCCATATCGCAATGCTACTAGTGTGATATTGCATAACAGTGCGATATGGCTGTATATCAGCACTGGTGGGAGGCGTGCGATGACACGAGACCACATGCCGAGTGCCTTAGTGCCCCCACCAGTGCTGATATACAGCCATATCGCACTGCTACGAGTGTAATATTGTGTTTATACAACAGTTTGACGGCATAATTGTGTATATAAAAACAAAATCAAACATAGAGAGTGTCAAAAACCCTTTTGTATCAGGAACTACTTTCTTCCACGTTGGATTCAAATCATAAGCTGACAGTTAAACAGCAAAGCATCTTTTAAACTTTAGATCTGTGGTGTCTGCTTTTTGCTGGTTGTATGTGGGTGGAGTAATACACAAAGGGTAAAGAGGCTGTACGGGTGCTGATATTACTTAAATATATCACGGCTATCAGCCAATCAAATTCAAGAACCAGACAGAACTGTTGTGTAAATATATATATATATATATATATATATATATATATATATATATATATATATTTATAATAGATCTGAAGTGAAAAATAAAGGTTTTTAGCATTTTAGCTAAATGACTGCTAGATGGCTGTCTTAGACTTGAGACTGAACTGACAGGTTAAGTCAGGAGAAAAACCACCTTCTGTTGTATTTCAGCATCCAGCACTTTGTTCCTGAGGCAAAGACAGAAGCATCTGTGCCGACCCACACAACCTTCACCTCACTCTTACCTCACTTTAAACTGACAGACTATGAGCGCATCTTCATAATCTTAATGAGACGCTTTTATTAGCGTTAACTCTGACCTTTAGAAAGCCTCCAGGGCTATGCTGTTTCAGACCGCCATTTCTGTTTCTATGTCTGAAACTACAAATGAAAGCAGAGGTTATATGCTACTAAGCTGGGGGAATCAAAACCAATTTAAATGCATGAATTAATAGATTTTTTTTAGGAACACTCCTGTGATGTTACTTTCAGATTGAGTCTTCTGGGAATTCAATTCACAAAGGACAACAAGAACTCGGTGAAGAAACAGCCTGTAGTTGTTTTTAGAACTAGATGAGAAAAAAACGTTAGTATAAATTGTTGTGAGTGAATATGACATAAGTATTCTCAGAAGTTAAAACACCTTAAAAGAAAACTACAT